GCAGGGCCCCCTCGGCGTGGGAAGGGGGGTCTGCAGCTCATCCCCAGCCTCCGGGAGACCCTACAGAGACCCCACCGCTCGTGTGCAGATCTGTGCCCAGATCCCTCCCCTTGCTCAGGCCAGGGTGGCAAAAAAAAAGGCCAGTCAGTGCTGTTCAGTTTTCTACCTGAAATATTCCCACCCTCTGGTGCTGGAAGGGACGTGTATCTTCATAAAAACCCACCCTGCCCTCGGGTCAGCTGTGAACTGAAGCTCTGACATTCCAAGAGGCAAGATCCTGAAGGAGTTCAGCCCGAAGGGAACCCGCCCACAGCCCCTCCGGGTTGTATTTCTTTCCCCTGCTAATTTTCCTAAAGACACAACTCATATTCCTGTTGATTGAACAGTTTTGTGTTGACAGCCTGGAAGATTTGTGATGAAACTTATCATCAGCCCAGAGAGGGGGCCATTAGTCCTAGTCACAGCAGCCAGCCAGTGCTGATGTGTTTTATGGCACGCTTGGAAGACAAACATACACATTTATGTGTCACTTGTTGCAATATAAATGCTAACTTGTACTTCTTTCAAAACTTTTAATGAATTGTACACATTTCACAAGATTTATAGCCTGAACCCGATGGCTCAAAATATTACTTGAAACATATTTGTCACTTTGGCAACAGAACAACAACAACAACAAAAAAATATCTGGACGATATTGTGTTTAGAAATAAATCATCAATATATGCATCTGAAAAGAGTTTATTTTGGTCATTAATAGTTGATGGGGCCCCCCCTCCCCAGTGCAGGATTTAAAGTTAAATTATGCAAAATCAAAAACAAACCTTATAATACTTAATCAAACATGCATAAAACTGTCAGGGCCAAATAAATTCTCTCAATTAACTTGCTTCAGATTGTGATTGCATTTACTAATTTAATCAACACTAGAATAATTTGGAGACTGGGTAATGATAAATGACTGTGGTGCTGCTCAGGAAGGGCCTGAGGTGTGTGTGCTGAGACAGGAATGCAAGGAACACTTCCTAGGCTGTGGGTGGAAAAGCTTCAGCTGAGTTGTTACCATCATTTGATAATGGAAACATCTTCTTATTCCCATTTTTGGGGGGGATTTTTTTCCAGTGAAGACTTGAAACACCTGTCATGGGTAGACCTGGTCAGGATAAATGACTTCTCTGTTAGCCCACAGGGTCTAGCTCATTTCTGCAAGTTTAAGCAAGTTCATTTGTTCAAACACATCTCCTTTGGTTGTAAAGTTCATCAACCAAATAAAAAACTTCTGACTAATACTTAAAATACAGACAGATTACAATGCACCCAAGTTAAAGCAGACTCTTCAGGTTTTGCAAATTATTCTTCTATACTTGAGACAACTGTGGTA